GAAGTGTGTGTGGAGACGGGAGGCAGGATGTAAAGCAGGTGAGCGGGAAAGGGGGCTCTAAAGGGCAAATAGTTATCGAGAGGGGAACCAGAGGTGTGAAGAGAGAGTTGCCAGGGCCCTGAGAAACCCTGGAGGGAGCCAAGAACATCACGATGAAGAGCCAAGGGGAACAATCGAGGAGCTGGGAGCTGAGGAGGAGAAACAGCGGGCCTGAAGGAGGAAATGGGGGCGGTGTGGAGCACCGAAAGGGCAGAAATGGGCAGGGGGCGAGGGATGCAGAAAAGGCGGAGGAGGCCTGAGGGAGGGCCAGGGGAGGCTGGACCACCCGTTCGGTCTTGAGTCTCTTCTAGCTCTTGGTGGTGGTGGTGGTTGTCATTGAGGTGGCTCCAACTTATGGCTACCTTATGTACAACAGAACCAATGTTGCCCCGTCCTGGGCCATCTTCATGATCCTTGGTATGTTTGAGCCCGCTGTTGCAGCCATTGTGTCAAGCCATCTCATGGAGACTTTATAAAATTCTTTCTAAAAGGGCTCCTTGAAGGCTGGTGGGAGGCTGAGGGAAAGTGAAGAACGACGGAGAAATCGAGATGAAGAGAGGCGTATAACGGGAAGAGTTAAAAACTCAAAGGAGAAATTAGCCCTCTGGGAAGGCAAATAGAGCCAGAAAAAATGGCCTGGACCAAGAAAGGACTTTCGTTTGGCCAGCAACCCAACTGGATTTTTCTCTCGACCACAGCCAGGGAAATTTCTGCATCCCTAAAAGTGATTTCTGTATGTTTGTCCCTTCTCCACAGTTCTTTGTGTCTTATTTCACATTCTTGCACATAGTAAGTACTCAAATATTTTTTTTTCTGCTTTTTTTTGGGTGAACATTTTATTGTGTTTTAGGTGAAAGTTTACACAGCAAATCAGTTTCCCGTTCAACAATTCATACATGCATTGTTCTGTGACATTGGTTGTATCCCTGCAGGGTGTCAGCATTGTCGCCATTTCCACCCTGGCTTCCTCGTTTCCATCCCTCCGGTTTCCCTGGCCCTCCTGCCTTCTCACCTTTGCCCATTTGGCCTCCAGTATAGTTGATTGTTCTAAAGAGCATATTCCTCATAGGTGTTATTGTTCATGTTATAGACCAATCTGTTATTTGGCTGAAAGGGGACCTCCGGGAGTGACTTCAGTTCCGGATTAGAAGGGTGTCTTTCTTTCCTTCTCCACTTTTTGTAATAGAAAGGATAGAACTAAGTTCAGTTTTAAAAGAAACCTCATGTGCCCTCAGTAATGTGTTAGTTGGGCTCTTGGATCGCTAGTTTTAACATTGCGTCTGGGATTTCCACAGCATATGTACTGTCTGGAGAAGATAAATATTTGAAGGTCACTGGGAAAATTGTGTGTTATAATAACTTCTCTTAAATCATTTAAATGAGTTTTTCTGCTTGAACAGTCACCCCCTATTTAGTGCCTTCTCGGATGATTTTGCGTTTTTGCTGTAACACTCATCGGCTACAAAGTTTTCTCAGTATTTATATTATAAATTCATGTTTAGAAATGTCAAATATCAATAAAAAACATTTTTTGTTAAATGGATATAAGGCCATGGGGAGGAGAGACATAGAAAGGGAAATGAGTTAGACTTGGAGGGAAGAAAGTAGGGGCTTAAAGGACTCTCTGGGTGGTGCAAATGGTTAACTCAAAGGTTGGAGGTTCAAGACTACCCAGAGATGCCTCTGAAGAAAGGCCTGGAGATCTCCTTCTAAAAACTCAGCAGTTGGAAACCCTATGGAGCATAGTTCTACTCTGACACACATAGGGTTGCCATGAATCGGAGTCGATGCAAGAACAACTTTTTGGTGTTGTTGTTAGAGAGGAGGAAGGTAAGATGGGAAGGGAGGGATGAGCAGGAAGAGTAGCCGGAAGGGGAGAGAGGGTGGCCTGGATAAAGGGACTTACGGACCAGGGGAACAAGGAGATAAAGCCGGAGGTCAAGCCCGCAGCTTCTGAACTTGGCTTCTGAAGTGGGAAGTTGCATCAGAGGTCGAATTTCTTCTTTGCTCTTGTGAGACACTCCCCTTGGGGTGATTGAAAGAAGCCCCTAGGGGGTAGGGAAGCCATCTTGGAACCCACGAGGGCGCTTCCCACAGAAAGGCGTGTCCCTTTGAAGCTGCCGAGGGGAGCTTCTTTCAGAAGGTGAAGGTTGAGGGGAGGAACCCCAGAAGGTAGTCGTCCTTTGAAGATTGGCCAGCAAATGGAGAGGCCCCTTATGTGTGACCGTGCAGAAAAAGCATGGTCCACCTCAGGGCCGGCGAGGGGGCTGGTTGGAAGCAGCGTTCCTGGGCCACATCATTACCCTGGGCCATGGCTGTGGATGGGCTCACAAGGTCCGAGCGGCAATATTTGGAGCCCAACTGTAGTTCAAATTAACGTTGAGCTGCCTGTGGACGACTCTAGAATGGCAGAGCCTCGTCGCAGCCGTGTTGGTGTCTTCTGGGATGCCTTGGTCACGAGAGGACGCTGCCTACTGAGCGGTGTCCATTCCTTGTTCTTGGTAGTGGAGCCTGAAGTGACCCTCTCCTTTGACCTGTGAGCCTCCCTTGGATAATCTGACTATGGAGAGGGGGCGCCTCAGGAAAGAGATACTGCGTTTCCTGCTAATAGGTCTGAGGCACACAGGAGGCTATTTAGAACAATAAGAGATGTGACCCCTGAGTGTATGGAGCAGTTTCTACCAGTTAAACTTTTCAACCCCTGTGTTTTAAGAAATCAAGGCAGAGTGTAAGGAAAGTTGCTTGCATTTAGTCTGGAATGAAAGGAACAATGAACTCCTGGGCCCAAGACTTACTTGTCAAGTCTAAACCCCTCAGATTGGCTTCAGGACCCTCCTGTACCTCTTCCCACCCACCTTTCCAGCCTTTTGCCCTACAATTTCTGCTTCATCTCCATCCAGACGCCTCTCCTAATTACCTCATGTGATCACGGGAGAGGTCAGCTGGAATGGACGTCTTTGGCTCCTTGTGTACAAAGCTTTGCAGAGAGCTCTGCTTGGAGCATAGTAGGTGTAACGCCGAGTCCCAGAAATGGGAGTGCTGATGGTGGTGATGCAGTGCGGCCTTGAGAGCGATAGCGTGGTCCGGCCATGACCCAGGCCAGCACCCTCCCGGCACAGAAATGCTGTTGGTCTGCTACAGATGCCGGGAGTTGTGGCAGGCCAGCACGTGTCCTTCCAGTGCCTGTCAGAGGGTTGTGGGTCCGGTACCACCTCCAG